AAATATTTAGCTTCTCTTTCCTTTCATTTAAGCTTTTCCTGACCAAGCTATGCTGCACGGTGTCAAAGCTGTGATTTTCATTAAAAAGCTACACTTTCATTGGTACCCCTGAAGATATATCGGCAGAAATGAAGCCGAAGACATCAGAAATGCAAAGCTCCAGCCGTTTCTGGCAGTCATTGTAACTAAGCTTTCTATTGGTCGGTAAACTTTCTATCGCGCAACCACGTGACATACACGGTAATGAATATAATTACCGCAGGGTGTTGTAGAGGGAGGAATAACCGAACGGAACAACACCGTGCAGGCGAACGACGGACAAATAGAAAAAAGTTCATATATGAAACACATGTGATATGTGGTAATTCATGTTAGTGCCATGTATGTTAGGATTAGAGGGAACAAACCGAGACCAGTGGGAATAGACGATGAAACAAAGACAAGTTTTGGTAAGAAAACTTATGTTTTTTTCCACGATATGCTACAGACAAATATACTAGAAACTACACAATTAAAATATTTCAGCATTCGCGCGAAAGTGAACATACCATTCGTAGTAACTTGGATTAGGATTACCATAACCATTGCAGCAAAACATAACACTTTGTCCGACAGATCGTATCTTGCTCTCGGGATTGACTGTGATAACTGGCGGAACTAATATATAGAAAAGTGAATATGTTTATAATTAGACATTATTTTAATTTTTTATTTCAAGTCTATAGCACTTCATTTGTATAAGACACATAAGTATGAACTTCAGAACTATAACAGTCTTACCGATTTTTTCTAATACAATTCTAATGTTTGAATAGTTGGCAATATTGTTCGACACGGCTGGAAGTTTGTATGTTTTCGTTGCGAATTTTGACTTCTGAATTATCAGCCCTGAACCACGAATGCAAAGACCCTGAACGTTGAAACTACCATCACCGAGCGTCCTTGCGATTGGCACCAATGGTGATTCCTCTCGAGATATGGATACATTATATAGCGGCCTGAAGCAGCATCAACTACGTAACCATCCAGTACATCATTTTCACAAACGCAATATAAGCAATTTGGGTCCATTTCACCATATTCACATGATATTGAGCAATCTGGATAAAAAACAAGAATTATACATTTGATTCATTTAATTTCGACGAAATGTGTGCTTTAGCGACATTGACAAACTTGTTTTCTCTCACCTGGGCAATCCCATGATGCACATGTGCGTGATTGGACAGAACTACCTGTGCATGTAATATCATAGTCTGTAGTAAAACAATCTCGAAATCTTAACTGGTTACCACCGCCGCATGTCACACCGCATGGGCCCCATTCGCCCCAGGTGAGCCAGGAAGTTTCCGCTGAAAGAAATGTCATAATTGTATTAACTACATTATTTGTAACTAAAATTGTTCTATTAGAAAACATTATGGCAGCGGTTTTTGTTTAGTAAGACAATTTATGCCATTGCGAACGAATTAACGATATTAGGTATGTTACTTTGATTTCAGCCTTTCATTTAGGTCATCGGAAGATGTCGTATATGAGTGTCGCCATATAGCGTCACGCGTGCCCTTGTTTATGCTTTCGCTTTATACGTGATTGGAAATGTAATGACACTGTAAATGATGAGCCATTCTGTATTCACAATTACATGCGCTACCTGAAAATGGGAAGCAGAATTCATGCATTACCTTGGAGATACGGCGGTGGAGCCATTGTAGATATGTGTATGTTTCGTGTTGTAGATGGAACAGTTGTTATGATCGATGTTGTTTGTTTTGATGTGCCAGGGGTGGTAGTCAAAACCGGGAAACCAGTAGTTGGTACATACTTAGGTGATTTGAGTATGACGCCGGTACCAGCTGTAGTTAATATATCGACTGTGCTTGCAGACTTAGTTGTCTCAACTTCTGTGCTATGCGAATTCAAATTAGAGCTATGTTCCGGGGAAACGACAGTCGGTGCTGTGCGTCGCACGTCAATTGTTGGATTGGTTTCAATTTTGCCAGATGTGGTAACCAATAAATTCGTGTTTGCTGATCCATCTACGAAAAAATAGAACTGAAATTAACGCGTCTAATGCAGTTTTATTGTTTAGCTGTTCATATTCGCTAATATCATCGAATTTGTATTGTTTTCGAGTTGAAATAACTACTAACGATCCATGTAGACCTGCTTGCAGTCTGTTGCAATTCCGATGAAAAAATCTTGAAAAATAAGTATAAATTGCGTAAACGAGGGGTGAATGCGAAAATCATGTGACCGCGAAATCCAAACAGACCATCAGTATAACCAACCATCACGTTACTGGCC